GGGTTAGTGAGATATTCAAGTTTGACCGGTTGGGACCGGACCGACACGACCCCGTAACACGGCCAGGAAAGGAACAGCCCTAAGTAGCCATATAGATGAACAGCCAGGCCTGAATAATTAAAATACGGTCATGTGCTATTTTTAACACGGGACTGATTGTTCGTTTCCCAAAATCGGGCCTGCGCCAGCCCCGTTCTAAAAATAACACAGCCCCACGCTATTTTTAGCGTGGGACTGACTGTTCATCTACCGGGAACTGGGCCTGCGCCAGTCCCGTTCTAAAAATAACACAGCCCCATGCTATTTTTAGCTACCGGGGACTGGGCCTGCGCCAGTCCCGTTCTAAAAATAGGACTGACTGTTCGTATCCCGAGGTCGGTACTGCTGCTATTTTTAGCACAGGCCCGGTCTAGAGTCTGACCATAGCCCCGACCTTGGGACTGCAGCACTCAGCCCCGATCACCTGGCCTCTCCATTATAAAAGAGAGGCCACGTCACCCAAGAGAGACAGATCAGTGATGCACGTGGCACATCAGGCAGCGCGAGAGAGCCCTCACTTACGGGAGCCCTGCAGCGTTGGCGGAACGGCAAGGAGCTAGAAGGCACGAGCTAAGGAACGGCGACTTGCCAGCAGGAGCATGAGAAGAGCATGGAGTAGGAGGCAAGGGAGTCGAGCAAAAGGCAAGCCAGGGAAGGGATAAGCAAAGGAGGGAGCAAGACTGGCCCCTTACTTTCCCTTTCTCATGCCTTCTCTTCTCATCTTCTCTTCTCTCTTCTCTCTCTCTCTCCCTCTCCCTCTTCCTTTTCAACCGTCTCCATGGGTTGTGTACGTTTCATATCTGATCTGTGCACTCCATGCTTGAGCTGTTGATTGGTCATGAATTATGCGCTCACACGCTGCATCTGAGGGTTGACCGTGAGCTGAGCACCAATGAGCACCGCACCTGATGACTAGCTATGAACTGAGTGCTCACATACTGTAATTGAGGGTTGACCGTGAGCTGAGCACCGATGAGCACCGCACCTGATGACTGGCTATGAACTGTGCACTCACATACTGTAATTAAGGGTTGACTCAGTACCGTATACCCATGAACAATGTATTTATAGGCGGATCCTGGACTGTGCGCAGCGCACAGTATTGCCTCCGAACCAGAATGTTGTACCTTGGATATATGATCAGCGTCAGTAATCAACCGTGCCAATAGGCCCTCAAATAGAGTATGATGATTGACTGCGAAGCACTCAAACTGAATATATTGTTTTTTTCGCTGAGAGCATGCTGCGACTGTGCGCATTTGAACTTAGTGTGACACTGCGCAACAAGGCGGCAAAACTCGGTTTTAACGACTCCGAGTTATGTCTGTACCCTCGCAGTTTTACTGGGTGCTAAGTCGCATTGAGTGTCGAGCCGATTTTGAGACTGCCAGAGCAGTCACACTGAGTACTGAGTCGATTTTGAGACTGTTAGTATAGTCGCATTGAGTGCTGAGCCTGCCATTGCACTGAGTAGCCCGCCGATTTTTAAACTGCCAGCGCAGTCCCACTGACTAACCAGTCGATTTTGAGACTGCTATCGCAGTCATGCCGAGTAACAAGCAGATTTTTGGGACTGCTAGCGCAGTCATGCCGAGTACCAAGCCATTTTTGAGACTGCCAGCGCAGTCATGCCGAGTAACCAGCCGATTTTGAGACTGCTGGCACAGTCATACCGAGTACCAAGCCGACTTTGAGACTGCTAGCGCAGTCATACCGAGTACCAAGCCGATTTTGAGACTTCCAGCGCAGTCACGGTGAGTAACAAGTCGATTTGGAGACTACTGGCGCAGTCGCACAGTCGTACCAAATATCAAGCCGATTCAGATTTTGTTTGCACAGTCACACCAGGCTGATTGCACAGTCACATTGAGCATTTCGCTGTGTGCAGCGTGCGCACTACACTTGAAGGCTATATCAGAGCATTTCGCAGTTCGTATCTCTGCGCAGAGGTCGCACCGTACATGAGGATTGTATCTGAGCATTCCGCAACTGCGCAGAGAGCGCACCGTACTCAAGGGCTATTTTGGAATATTGAGCTATTCAATTGTGCTCAGAGTGAGCACTTGACAAGGGCTATTTTGCAATATTGTGCTATTCAACTGTGCGCCGAGTGAACACTTATCTGAGGGTCGTATCTGAACAGTGCGCCGTTCGCACCATGCCGTGCGCTGTTCGCGCCATGCTTGAGGGCCATATCTGAGGGTCATATCTGAACAGTGCGCCGTTCGCACCATGCCATGCACTGTTCGCGCCATGCTTGAGGGTCATATCTGAAGGCCATATCTGAACAATGTGCCGTTCGCACCATGTTGTGCGCTGTTCGCACCATGCTTGAGGGTCGTATCTAAGTGCTATTCGTAAGTGTTATTTCTAAACAGTGCCATTTCTGAGCAGTGCTATTCGTAAGTGCCATTTCTGAGCAGTGCTATTCGCAAGTGCCATTTCTGAACAGTGCCATTTCTGAGCAGTGCCATTTCGCGAGAGCCATTTCTAAACAGTGTTATTCGCAAAAAACCATTTCTGAATAGTGATATTCGCAAGTGCTATTTCTGAACAATGCCATTTCACAAGAGCCATTTTTGAATAGTGTTATTTGCAAGAGCCATTTCTGAACAGTGTTATTCGAAAGAGCCATTTCTGAACAGTGTGAAAATCATTCCTGACTTTTGCGTAGTAAGCACACCATATCTAAGAGTTATTCTCAATTGAGCAGAACCAGTCTCAACTGCACCGAAGGTACTTCAAGTGAGCACTGAATCAGAGAGCCATGCATGACTGATTTTCAGACCCGAAGCACGAGTATCCATTTCAATTGGATGCATAGTAAATAGCTGATTTTGAGTCCGCAAATACTGTTTTGACGATCAGGATCGATCGACCGATAGATTGAGCATGCGACAAGAATATTAATTGTTATTAAAGTGCGCGGCCAGACCAGATATTATTTTTAAGTGCGCGTCCGCACGCGCCTAGGCCAGATATTATTTTTAAAGTGCGCACCCAGAGCAAATATTATTTTTAAGTGCGCGCCCGCGCTCGCCCAGGCCAGATATTAGTTTTAAAGTGCGCGCCTAGACCAGATATTATTTTTAAGTGCGCGCCCAGACCAGATATTATTTTTAAGTGCGCGCCCGCGCGCGCCCAGGCCAGATATTATATTCAAAGTGCGCGCCCAGACCAGATATT